GTATGACTGGTTTTTATACATTCCTTGAGGTAGGTGGTTTAAATCACTCTCTTGTGCGTTGCAATATGCATTTTTGTATGAAAAATCTGTCTTTTTACGGGATGCTATCCCGTGATTCTTGGAGATTGACTTCTGATTTCACCGTAGGTTGTAGATTTCTATGAATATTATTGTAAAGTTATGGTTATTCTGCTGGAACATCAATATCTCCTTAGGTGGTAAAATTCCTAAAGTAACAATGCCCAACGTCGAGCAAGTGGTTGTTAGAGATGCGAAAGTTAGAGTACTGATGGGTAAGAGTTTGTTTTCGAGGGTTGTATCTGACATTTGGGTTTTTTCTAAGCTCTCAAGACTTGTATACTGATTTTTTTTTTCTTTTTTTTTTGCATTGAAATGGATAATAGTTCGTTCCCATAAACTTTTTGAATGTTGTTTGTTTTTCTTTTCCTTTCTTCATATTAGGATTAATCCCTAAGCAGGTTCATGGGGTAGGATTGTAATCAACATTTTCCAATTTAAAGATGGAACTGACTGTTGTAAGGATGCTCAAGAATCCGTCGTGAACGGTTCCCCTGTTTCTGAAGAGTTTAAATTACAGGTATAACGTCAGCCTTTAAATTACAGGTACCGACCATGTCTTGCACATAAGTAAGCTTTTATTCCTCTTCTTTCGTGGTTCTGTAATAAAATTTAAATGTATGTTGGTCATTGCCCTTCTTGCATATATGTGAAAATGTTATTATCTTTCTCCTTTTGTTCTTAAAACATGTCTCGTATTTAACCTAGGAGTAAGATACAAAAGGCTTGAGTTCTGGAAATTTGGAGAAAAGGGCGACAATTGCTTCCGGCCCTGTTATGAGTGAAGCCACGCGCTGAATGAAGGCTCGGGTTTACATCGGTTGCATGAAAACCGGCCAAATCTTGCACATAAGTAAAAGCTTTTATTACTCTTCCTCTCTGGTTCTGTAATAAAATTTAAATCTATGATGGTCATTGCCCTATCTTGCCTGTGTTTGAAAATGTTATCGTATTTCTTCTTGGGTTCTTAAATCATGTCTCCTATTTGACGGAGGAGTAAGATACAAAGGACCTGGACCTGAGTTTTTGAAATTTGGGGATTAGGGCGACAAGTACTTGCAGTCCTGGTCTGGTTTACATCGACTGCATGAAAACGACGACAAGTACTTCAAGCTCTGTTCTGAATGAAGCCACACACTGAATCAAGCCTCAGGTTTACATCGATTGCATGAAAACCGGCAAAATCTTGCACATAAGTAAGCTTTTATAAATCTTCTTTCCTGGTTGTGTAATAAAATCTATGGTGGTCACTGCCTTTTCTTACAGTTACATCTATTTGAAAAAGTTATCTTCTTCTTGGGTTCTTAAACCCTGTCTCGTATTTGATGGAGTAGGATATAAAGGACCTGAGTTCTTGAAACTTGGAGAAAAAGGCGACAAGTACCTGTTTTGAATGAAACCACACGCTGTATGAAGCCTCAAGTTTACATTGGTTGCATGAAAACCGGCCAAATCTTGCACATAAGTAAGCTTTTATTTCTCTTCTTTCCTGTACATATAAATATGGGTAAAACCCTCATTGTTGGAATTTCCCTATTTCAAGATTTTCGAGTATAGTATAGGTATAGACACGCTTCCTTTTATTGTGATGTATATGCAACTATGCTTGGAGCAACATTAGCCGTGCACCGAATGAAGCCTCGGGTTTATATGGGTTACATAAAAGACTGTTTAGCTCTTACACAGTCGTAAGCTTTTAAAACTCTTCTTTCCTAGTTCTGTAATAAAATCAGTGGTGGTTGCTGCCCTTCTTGCTTGTATTTGAAAATGTTATCGTCTTTCTTCTCGGGTTATTATAACTTGTCTCGTAGTTGACAGACAACTAAGACACCAAGGACCCTCGAGTTCTAAAAATTTGGGAGAAAGGGCAGGAAGGACATCAGGTATGCAACAGGGGGGCCAGCTGGTCGCGATTTCCAATTTGCCACGTACATATTGATAAACCAATGAGTTTCACAGTCAGTTTTCTGTTTCTTAAGTTGTGTTTCATATGTCCATAGCCTATATTTCAAGTTATAAAACTCGTATGACACAGGTATGCGCTTTACAAGTATGAAAACGAGGATTTCCCTTTAGGAGTGTGGTTTGTTGGAGTGGTCGTGGAATTCGTAAATGGTCGCAAACTGCGTTGCAGTTCTATGCGTAAGTGTTTTTCTTACTGAAAGCATATTTCTTTTCTGAGAGAAGTTAGAGGTCTCAACGTCTGTGGGAAGGAAATACTAGTCCTTTTCATGCTGTCCTTTTAACATAATTTTCTCTTCTTAATGAAGAAGTTGTACACATGATACAAACTGGTTTTTGTTGTTTAAAAGACAAAACCTGCAACCTGGTACTGATACCAAGCAAAAAGCTCCAAAGACACTGATATCTGCTCCAGGTGAGTTGGAAATAGTTTTAGTCTTAGGTTGTGTTGAAACATTGTTCTGAAAATTTTGGTGTTCTTGCCAATTTTTCATTTCTTTGGTTCGAGTAGTTTAATCGTTTGCGCCATGTGTTGGTCTAAGATGTTGTACTGTTTGCTGGAACGTCGAAAAAAAATCTGCCCTGTGGAAGAAGTTGATGCTCGGACAATCTTTGTAAGTAATGTAATTAATTATGCATATGGTATCAGTGGATGAGATAAATCTTTTGTGTCTTTGCCCGTTTTCCTATTCCTATTCTTTCTGTACTAGCATGGTACTGTAGCTAGCCGCCTCTTCACCCTTCATTTTTCTGTACGAGGGCTCTTATTACATATGATGGGTTTTTATACATTTCCTGAGGCAGGTGGTTGAAATTACTCTCTTTCGCGTTGCTATATGTATTTTAGTATTAAAAAACTGTCTTTTACGTGTTGTTATACCATGAGTCTCTGAGATTGGCTACCAATTTCAACGTAGGTTGTAGATTTCTATGTCTATTATTATATATTTATGGTTATTCTTGAACATTAATATCTAGTATATTTTGAATAGTTCATGCCTAGTTTTATTTCCCGGTTTTTCTGTCATTGTTTTACTGTTACATAAGTTATTGAAAACACAATTGAGAGAGAATTCCTGTAAGTGCTTGGACGGAGGGCATTTTAAATATCTCCTTAATTGGTAAAATTGCTAAAGAAACATTGCACGACGTGGAGAAGTGTTTGTTGGTGACGCAAAGGCAGAGTACTGATGGATAAGAGTTTGTTCTAAGGGCTGTATCCGTCATTGGGGTTTCTCGCCGCCTCTGAAGACTCTGGTATTTTTTTGTTTTGAAATGGATAATCGTTTGATCCAATAATTTTCGGATTTTCTTTCCAATTAAGAGGTGGAACTGACTGGTGCAAGGCTGTTCAAGAATCTGTAATGAGTGGTTTCCCTAATTCTGAAGAGTTTGTCATAGGTATAACATCAGCCTTTGAATTATATTTTACTTCAATGATGCGTCTCTATATATATCCCCTGGACTTGGCGCCATTTTTCCGAGATTTGTGTCTGCCTCAGGTGATCAAAAAAAGAAGATCGAGGGAGAGAAAGGAATTGCAATGCGTTTTTTCCTAGGCCAAAGTTGAGGAACCGAGTTCAGATATCTTTATTTTGTCACCATTATTTCTACTCGTGATGTCTTTTTCTTACCAATTTGAGATTGCGTAACTTGTACTTTCTCTGTGTTATTCTTGATTGGATGTTTTCTTTGGACAGCGCTACTTCGGGTGGAGGACAGAGAACATGACGATTTCTTGAGGCCGGTAAGATGTTCCTATCGTGAATTTCTCGGAATTTTCTCACTTCTCTTGTTTCATTGAGATAAGCTGTGTTACTGCGATTTTTACGTTAATTAGTGAGGGGTAAAACTTTGAGAAGGTTTCCGAGGTCAAGGTAGTCTATGTGTAGGTCAAATAGTCAGTGTCATCTATCAGGTAGATTGTCATGATAGTTCTTGCGTATAGACCAGTTAAGAGATAGTTCTACCTGATAGATGACCCATTCTTATGGGAGGTTGAGAGGGAATCTAGTCCTAGGTCCCCCGCATAGGTCACTGTTACTGGACAAGTGGCGGTACAGCCACTTGAGGTTTCGGGAGTTGCATTTATCTTACAACTGAGTCCTTGAGATTGGTGGAGAAAGAATTGGGAACTCCAAATCTCAAGAGAAGAAAAGAGGAGTTGATATGATCTCGAATCTACGTTTTAAAACTAGACAATAGAATGGAAATCCCAAGATCTCTAAGAGCCGAATAACGCAAACCTAGATAGAATCGTGATAAAAATTCCTAAGCCCACGCTCCATCTCATAAATCTTGAAAATATGTGAATTATGTCACAAGCACTTGTGTTTAGTACTTGGTAAGTTGATACAAGGAGTTTGATTGCTATTTCACTTGCGTTTAGTAATAGTACCTGATAAGTCGATGAACCCTATATGATACAATGAGTTTGATTGCTATTTCTCGAATTTACTTCAAAAAAGTACTCTCAGATTTATAGGAAAAGTGTTATTTGTTCTACAGTGAACCAAAGAATAGAGATATAAAGGCAAAAACCCTAAAACATGTCTAAAATGGCGAGTTTAATTAAACTCACGTAAAAATGCGAAAATAATGAAACTATCAATTGATTGATCATGAGCAGCCACGATCGATCGGTTGATCGTACTATGTGAGCAAAAATACCAAAATCTCTCAGTTGGGACGATCGATCGATCTTCTGGGTAGTGATCGTGTAACGCCCCGAGGCCGCTACGGAATGATAGAGCTGTCCCCACACACCAACACAGGACCTTTTAGCGTGTTTTGTCCTCACTCGCACACATCCCGGAAAGTACTTCCCAGGAGGTCACCCATAAGACTACTCCAAGGCCAGCACGCTTAACTTTGGAGTTCTCTCGAGATGGCTAACCGAAAAGGTAGATGCATCTTGTTGGTATGAGTAGTTCAATTAATTCCTTTAAGTTATCTTAGACTGTGTTGTCCCATACCTATACAGCCCTCGGATCCCTCTCATTCCGGTGCGTCCGCTTCATCCCTGTACTCCCTACCCGCTCGTCAGGAGCCGCCCATTGTCCATGCCTCTCGCACCGGCGATCACTCCCCGCCCTCCTACGGTATCCTGGGCTGTCACAGATCGGTCGATCAAACTCTCTAAACAAAAGTCGACAAATGTTTTGGGTAGTGATCGGTCGATCGAACTCTCGGACCAAATAGAGGCACTCTCAGAAGGGACGATTGGTCGATCCGCGAAGCATGATCGATTGAATGGTTGGCTCATAGCAAAAAGCCCATCCTCCATCTTCCGTTTTCTCGCTTTTCCTTTCGCCTCGATGCCTTAGCTTTTCCGTGACCATGCGTATGAACATTGTTTCCATCCTCTTGATCTTCGCTCTAGTCATCGGTACATCAATCTTCAGGTTCTTCTCCACGATTGTCTCCTAGCACATCTTTAGTAGACATCCCTCATACTGCCCTCATCAGGAGTCATAGGGTTAGGGTTAGGAGTCTTATATTATTGTCTTGCTCACCAGATTCTCCAGAAGGTCTTAGATGAAAAGACGATTTTTGAGATCTGGAGAAAGCTCGAGAAGTTATACTTGAGGAGCAATCCCTCCCTAACATATCATACCTACGCAGAGAGTTTTGAACTTCAGGGTCGAGGAGAATAAGTCGAAAGTGGAAAACTTGGATGTTTTCTTGAAACTATTGTTAGGTCTCTAGAACCTTAAGGTGAATGTTGAGGAAAAATATCAAGTAGTATATCTGTTGAGCTCTAAGCTTTCTATTTACAAACAATTGAGGAAAGTTTTGAAATATTCTAGGACATCTATCACGGCTAAAAAGCTCCTAACTCATAGTTGCTTCCTATTTACAAGCGATGAAAGAACTCATAGCTTAGAGAAGAGTGGATAGGTTTGCGGTGGAGGGACTTATAAGTTATAATTCATGGTAGGGAAGTCTAGAGACAACACGGTGTTGGTCATTGTGGGAAGGATGGACACTATAACAAAGAGTGTCGGTCTACTAGGAAGAGAGGTAGGAGAGAGGATGGAGAGGTGGGAGGTATAGGCATAGCATCGGTCGCGAGAGGCGACGTGTAGTACATAGATGTACCGCTCGTTTAATGTGAGGTTCCATCGATCATGGACCATACTTGAAGGATTTAGAGGATAGGCGCATGACCCCTAGGAGAGTGGTTCATAGACTTAGAAGAGTATACGAGGGACATGGTTAGACGCATGACCCCTAGGAGAGGTGGTTCATAGACTTAGAAGAGTGTACGAGGGACATGGTTAAGTTACCGAATAATGTCCAATGTAGGGTAGAGGGCTTAGGAACTATCCGACTAGTATCCCACGATGGTTTGGTGCATTTACTTTCCTATGTAACAGAACTTAGGAGAGATCTAATTTCTCTAGAAACCTTAGAGTCATAGGGGTTGGTTCAACTTCAAATCATAAGCGGGATTTCTAAGGATAGTGTCGGGATTCTCTCGTGGTAGAGTTAACTTCGAGAAGAATGAAGCTTTTCAGACGAGGGCAGGAGATCGTAGTCCAGGTTATATGACAGAGAACTGTAAGTAAGAGGAAGACTAGAGGACATGGTAAGACAGACTGAGATTACATATGAATCAAGAAAACAGAAATGAAATCCACAAGAACAAGTAAATACAATCTTACAACTAATAACATTGATCCATTTGATTACAAAATTGTTTGTTCCATTTGTCATTTCTTGTTTTTTCACGTAACTCCCCAGAAAAAGTTAGAAAAATAAAATACAGATAAGACGATGTGTAAACTTTCCTTCTGGGTGTCAAAGATAGTCGCACAATAAAAAATGGGTCTTTGTGTATCAATGGGGCTTTATCTTAAAAATGGAAGCTTCATTGTACTCTGTTTGTGCATGACATAATCGTAGATTTCATCTTAAAAATGGAAGCTTCACTGTATTCTGTTTGTGCATGACATAATCGTAGATTTCATCTCTTCCTTGTTCAATGATGATTCAACAAGCAGCTGCGGAAAAAAGAAGAAAACCTGTGAAGCGGATTTAGGTTTCCAGATAAACTAACAATTAGCAAGAAAAGATTTGTGTATTTTCACCTCTTGTACTTTGTTTCCAGCTCGGGCGAGTAGTTTGTATTGGCTCTCGAACATGGATGCCATGTAAACCTTACAAAGGAAACCAATCGTCCAAGATTCCAAAAAATAACATAAAAGTTTACATTTTTTGCAGAATAAATTGCAGCAAGATTTCAATTCGTTTGTTTATGTTTTGAAGTGGGATTTGGTTCACAATTTCTAGCGTTCGAATCAGTCATTCTTCACTCAAATAGCTTCGATATATCCATTCACACTCACATGTTTTTGACTGATATGTCATCATGGCCTTTGGTATTGTATCATATTTGAAGACTTAAGTGATAAAGCCGGGTACCTGAAATGTTGGAGCAAGGTCCGGGCTCAAGAAGAAACGACCTCTCGAGACTGACCGAACTCCTTCGACCATTTCCAACTCTTTGATAAGGGATTCCACATCAGGCCACTGCAACGTACGAAAAAATGTTCATCACTGGGTTTGATCGTAGGATACAAATTCAGTAGAACCACTGCAAGAACAAACCTCGGTGTCTAGTTCTGCTGCTTGTAGCCTTCCATCTAAACTGTCATAATCTCCGACTACAGACTCTAAGGATTCAGCTAGAGGATCAGGCTGTGTGTAACACAGGGCATTGAAGTATTAACCGATGCCAAACTCTCCAAGAAAAATAAACGTAGGCATCAAAGGTTACCGTGATTTCTTTCAGTGATAAGAATATCCGTTCAAGTGTAAAATCTAACTGGTGCACCTTTGCATCAACAATCTGAAAAAACCACAAACGTTATGAGCACTCTAAATCATTGTGAAGTCCTTCCTCGATTAACTGTACCTAACGGTGCCGGCTTTAGTTGATAATATTACCTGACCAATCTTGAAATATGATGCAGGATCTAAAGTGGCATCCCATGAAACTTCTGACTGGTGGATCAGTGCAGGGACACCTTCAACCTGTTTCAGCCGATTTTTAGTTATAGCAAAACTACATGATCCCAGTAACGAGAAACGATATTAATAATCCGATGAACAGCATTACTTCACAGAATATCCCAAAGTAAGTAATTTTCTTGATGCAACATTTCACAACATCCCCTACACGAAGCTTAGCCTGTGACAAAAGAAGGAAAATGGTGTTAAATCTAAGTAAGTAATTTTCTTGATGCAACATTTTACAACATCCCCTATACGAAGCTTAGCCTGTGACAAAAGAAGGAAAATGGTGTTAAATCTGTTTGATCGGAACGGACAAACCCAGTTTGGCTAAACAAAATAACCACATCATGTATTCGAGATAGAATTTAACAAAGTAGATCGCTCCTCACCATAAGACTTCGTTTTTTCTCAACTTCCTCTTCGTTTTCCCTGGGCCTCATGGAAAATATAAGCTTCCTCGAATTTCTATTAACCATGACCACAGTAACTTTGATTTTCTGCGCGGAGTAAATGTCTTTACTATACGTTCAAAAGGGTAAAGAAACACTTCTACATACTCCAAAGTTACAAACATGATCTAACTGGCCAACAAAAGATGACAAGAACTTTTGTTTCTCTTTGTCATAGATCATAAGAAGATCTTCCAGCTTCATATCAGGAGAGATGTTTCCTCTGATCGTCTTATCAACTTCAGGATCGAGGCTTGAAACTGGGAGTGGACTTTTACTAGTGCCATCAAGAACTCCAACCACTCCAAGATTTTGTCGATATAATGATAGGTCTATGCCCTTTCTTCTCAACCACGATTCAAAAGCTAGGAACTTCCATTTTGCTGCAAGGTTCCGGCAGGGAAAAAATCGGATCAAAGAATCGAAAGATACCTGTAAAAGAGTATAAGGAAGAACATAGGATAAAAAATGGGAAGAAATCATAATGTGAGAAGAGATCTTCAGTGGAATATAGTGTACTTACAGCAAATCCTCTTGTGCTTGAACTTATTAGCTCAACATCTACCCGTGCTTCTGTCCTAAGCAGGTCCCGAGCCTTATTCCAATCACTTTCCTAACAAATTCACAGAGAAACCAAGTTTTTATCATATGCTGCTTGTGAATAAGAAAGAAAAAAAATCAGAAGATTGGCTCTGGACCTCCAGGACCGATCTGGAAGGAGACCCCTTAAGCTCAATGGAGTCATGTTGTCCTTCATGATTCACATAGACGTGTGCTCCATCCGAAGTCAATGGCTCTGCCAATGATGGGTCTAATCTATAACAACTAGCCAGTCAGTCAAAACAAATTGAAAAGATGAAAGAGGAACTGCCTTTGATAGAATTAATGAAAATACAAGAACCTTTGTGGTTTCCCCTGTAAGAAAGCTTCAGCAGTTGCTTGAATAACTGAATCAGGTGAAATTCTATCTTGTGGATCACTATGAACAGTTGAGGATATTGAAAGGTTCTCGCTATGTTGCAGCATTTCTTGACAAACAACAAAGATATGATCAATTTCATGTATGATCATATGTAAAAGAGAAGAGAGCCAGCCAATGCCTCACTAAATCATGCTACCACAAAGATAATTGAATGAACTAATAGAAAGCAACAGCTAGGAGAGTGGTTCATAGACTTAGAAGAGTGTACGAGGGACATGGTTAAGTTACCGGATAATGTCCAGTGTAGGGTAGAGGGCTTAGGAACTATCCGACTAGTATCCCACGATGGTTTGGTGCATTTACTTTCCTATGTAACAGAACTTAGGAGAGACCTTAGAGTCATAGGGGGTGGTTCAACTTCAAATCATAAGCCGGATTTCTAAGGATAGTGTCCGGATTCTCTCGTGGTAGAGTTAACTTCGATAAGAATGAAGCTTTTCAGACGAGGGCAGGAGATCGTAGTCCAGATTATAGGACAGAGAACTGTAAGTAAGTGGAAGACTAGAGGACATGGTAAGACAGACTGAGATTACATATGAATCGAGAAAACAGAAACGAAATCCACAAGAACAAGTAAATACAATCTTACAACTAACAACATTGATCCATTTGATTACAAAATCGTTTGTTCCATTTGTCATTTCTTGTTTTTTCACCTAACTCCCCAGAAAAAGTAAAAAAAAATAAAAATACAGAACGCAAAGATGTAAACTTTTCTTCTGGGTTTCGAAGATAGTGGCAGAATAAAAAATGGGTCTTTGTGTATCAACTCCAAGTGGGGCTTATCTTAAAAATGGAAGCTTCACTGTACTCTGTTTGTGCATGACATAATCGTAGATTTCATCTCTTCCTTGCTCAATGATGATTCAACAAGCAGCTGTGGAAAAAAGAAGAAAACCTGTGAAGCGGATTTAGGTTTCCAGATAAACTAACAATTAGCAAGAAAAGATTTGTGTATTTTCACCTCTTGTACTTTGTTTCCAGCTCGGGCGAGTAGTTTGTATTGGCTCTCGAACATGGATGCCATGTAAACCTTACAAAGGAAACCAATCGTCCAAGATTCCAAAAAATAACATAAAAGTTTACATTTTATGCAGAATAAATTGCAGCAAGATTTCAATTCGTTTCTGTATGTTTTGAAGTAGGATTTGGTTCACAATTTCTAGCGTTCGAATCAGTCATTCTGCACTCAAATAGCTTCGATATATCCATTCACACTCACAACTTTGGTATTGTATCATATTTGAAGACTTAAGTGATAAAGCCGTGTACCTGAAATGTTGGAGCAAGCCCCGGGCTCAAGAAGAAACGACCTCTTGAGACTGACCGAACTCCATCGACCATTTCCAACTCTTTGATAAGGGATTCCACATCAGGCCACTGCAACATACGAAAAAATGTTCATCACTGGGTTTGATCGTAGGATACAAATTCAGTAGAACCACTGCAAGAACAAACCTCGATGTCTAGTTCTGCTGCTTGTAGCCTTCCATCTAAACTGTCATAATCTCCGACTACAGACTCTAAGGATTCAGCTAGAGGATCAGGCTGTATGTAACACAGGGCATTGAAGCATTAACCGATGCCAAACTCTCCAAGAAAAATAAACGTAGGCATCAAAGGTTACCGTGATTTCTTTCAGTGATAAGAATATCCGTTCAAGTGTAAAATCTAACTGGTGCACCTTTGCATCAACAATCTGATAAAATCACAAACGTTATGAGCACTCTAAATCATTGTGAAGTCCTTCCTCGATTAACTGTACCTAACGGTGCCGGCTTTAGTTGATAATATTACCTGACCAATCTTGAAATATGATGCAGGATCTAAAGTGGCATCCCATGAAACTTCTGACTGGTGGATCAGTGCAGGGACACCTTCAACCTGTTTCAGCCGATTTCTAGTTATAGTAAAACTACATGATCCCAGTAACGAGAAACGATATTAATAATCCGATGAACAGCATTACTTCACAGAATATCCCAAAGTAAGTAATTTTCTTGATGCAACATTTCACAACATCCCCTACACGCTTGAACTTATTAGCTCAACATCTACCCGTGCTTCTGTCCTAAGCAGGTCCCGAGCCTTATTCCAATCACTTTCCTAACAAATTCACAGAGAAACCAAGTTTTTATCATATGCTGCTTGTGAATAAGAAAGAAAAAAAAAAATCAGAAGATTGGCTCTGGACCTCCAGGACCGATCTGGAAGGAGGACCCTTAAGCTCAATGGAGTCATGTTGTCCTTCATGATTCACATAGACGTGTCCTCCATCCGAAGTCAATGGCTCTGCCAAGGATGGGTCTAATCTATAACAACTAGCCAGTCAGTCAAAACCAATTGAAAAGATGAAAGAGGAACTGCCTTTGATAGAATTAATGAAAATACAAGAACCTTTGTGGTTTCCCCTGCAAGGAAGCTTCAGCATTTGCTTGAATAACTGAATCAGGTGAAATGCTATCTTGTGGATCACTATTAACAGTTGAGGATATTGAAAGGTTCTCGCTATGTTGCAGCATTTCTTGACAAACAACAAAGATATGATCAATTTCACGTATGATCATATGTAAAAGAGAAGAGAGCCAGCCAATGCCTCAGTAAATCATGCTACCACAAAGATAATTGAATGAACTAATAGAAAGCAACAGCTTAGCATACCAATTTTAGATTCTTCAATTTTCGTCTCTGACATTTCCTCACCTCCATCATCCCCAGTCTGTTCTTGTATTTTCTTGGGCATTTGCCCTGCATCTGGCTTCTTCAAAAGAGTAAAATCTGCATAAGCTCCATCTGCTTGTTTTTCCAGGCTGACGTCATTTCCATCTCCAATATTGTCCAAAACCTCTTCTCTCTTCTCTTCCAGCGCATTTGGGTTCGTTGGATCCGGTTTTCTTAACAATGTCATGTCACTAAACCTCTCTTTAAAGGAATATCCGTTCAAGTGTAAAATCTAACTGGTGCACCTTTGCATCAACAATCTGATAAAATCACAAACGTTATGAGCACTCTAAATCATTGTGAAGTCCTTCCTCGATTAACTGTACCTAACGGTGCCGGCTTTAGTTGATAATATTACCTGACCAATCTTGAAATATGATGCAGGATCTAAAGTGGCATCCCATGAAACTTCTGACTGGTGGATCAGTGCAGGGACACCTTCAACCTGTTTCAGCCGATTTTTAGTTATAGCAAAACTACATGATCCCAGTAACGAGAAACGATATTAATAATCCGATGAACAGCATTACTTCACAGAATATCCCAAAGTAAGTAATTTTCTTGATGCAACATTTCACAACATCCCCTACACGGTCGCGAGATGCAACATTTTACAACATCCCCTACACGAAGCTTAGCCTGTGACAAAAGAAGGAAAATGGTGTTAAATCTGTTTGATCGGAACGGACAAACCCAGTTTGGCTAAACAAAATAACCACATCATGTATTCGAGATAGAATTTAACAAAGTAGATCGCTCCTCACCATAAGACTTCGTTTTTTCTCAACTTCCTCTTCGTTTTCTCTGGGCCTCATGGAAAATATAAGCTTCCTCGAATTTCTATTAACCATGACCACAGTAACTTTGATTTTCTGCGTGGAGTAAATGTCTTTACTATATGTTCAAAAGGGTAAAGAAACACTTCTACATACTCCAAAGTTACAAACTTGATCTAACCTGGCCAACAAAAGATGACAAGAACTTCTGTTTCTCTTTGTCATAGATCATAAGAAGATCTTCCAGCTTCATATCAGGAGAGATGTTTCCTTTGATCATCTTATCAACTTCAGGATCGAGGCTTGAATCTGGGAGTGGACTTTTACTAGTGACATCAAGACCTCCAATCACTCCAAGATTTTGTCGATATAATGATGGGTCTATGCCGTTTCTTCTCAACCACGATTCAAAAGCTAGGAACTTCCATTTTGCTGCAAGGTTCCGGTAGGGCAAAAATCCGATCAAAGAACCGAAGGATACCTGTAAAAGAGTATAAGGAAAAAGTTAGGATAAAAAATGGGAAGAAATCATAATGTGAGAAGAGATCTTCAGTGGAATATAGCATACTTACAGCAAATCCTCTTGTGCTTGAACTTATTAGCTCAACATCTACCCGTGCTTCTGTCCTAAGCAGGTCCCGAGCCTTATTCCAATCACTTTCCTAACAAATTCACAGAAAAACCAAGTTTTTATCATATGCTACTTGTGAATAAGAAAGAAAAAAAAAAATCAGAAGATTGGCTCTGGACCTCCAGGACCGATCTGGAAGGAGGACCCTTAAGCTCAATGGAGTCATGTTGTCCTTCATGATTCACATAGACGTGTCCTCCATCCGAAGTCAATGGCTCTGCCAAGGATGGGTCTAATCTATAACAACTAGCCAGTCAGTCAAAACCAATTGAAAAGATGAAAGAGGAACAGCCTTTGATAGAATTAACGAAAATACAAGAACCTTTGTGGTTTCCCCTGCAAGGAAGCTTCAGCATTTGCTTGAATAACTGAATCAGGTGAAATGCTATCTTGTGGATCACTATTAACAGTTGAGGATATTGAAAGGTTCTCGCTATGTTGCAGCATTTCTTGACAAACAACAAAGATATGATCAATTTCACGTATGATCATATGTAAAAGAGAAGAGAGCCAGCCAATGCCTCAGTAAATCATGCTACCACAAAGATAATTGAATGAACTAATAGAAAGCAACAGCTTAGCATACCAATTTTAGATTCTTCAATTTTCGTCTCTGACATTTCCTCACCTCCATCATCCCCAGTCTGTTCTTGTATTTTCTTGGGCATTTGCCCTGCATCTGGCTTCTTCAAAAGAGTAAAATCTGCATAAGCTCCATCTGCTTGTTTTTCCAGGCTGACGTCATTTCCATCTCCAATATTGTCCAAAACCTCTTCTCTCTTCTCTTCCAGCGCATTTGGGTTCGTTGGATCCGGTTTTCTTAACAATGTCATGTCACTAAACCTCTCTTTAAAGTTTTCGTTCCTCATTTGCAACGTCAGATTTGGCTTTAGCCGCAACTTAGACCCTGCATCTTCATCATCATCTACATAATATGAACTTGGCTTTCTCAATATCACATTGGGGACTCTCCCTTTTGGAGCAGCCTCGGGTATCTTCTTCACGGCCGAGATTGCTTTCTTCACCTCAGGTCTAGTTGGCTTATCGTTAGTTTCAAATTTGACTCCGTCCTTTGGAATGGGCCTTACCAAATTCAGACCATTCGATGAACTAGAAGGCTTCTTTTCCTTTGACCAATCTAATGGAACCTCTTCTGTTTCTGTCATTTTACCCTTGTTCTTGTAATAAGACTTCTCAATTTCAACAAATGAAGCATCTGGGTTCACCTTCCTAGCCATTATCTGTGTTATTCAACCATAATCATCATCAAACACATTCAAATTCATAGAAAACAGCTACACATATTTAGTGAATCATATGGGAAACATTAATGGAGATTCAAAACTTCCTTATAAGCAAAAATTACAAACCCGTTGCAAGATATCTCAGCAGGGTACCTTAGCCAAAGTCAGTTTCGGGTCTTCGCCAAGCAACCGGCCAAATTTGAGCTCCATTTGGTCCCATTCATTGAGCTTTGGCTCTTCCTTCTTCGAAGCAGAAACTATAAATTTCCTCTGTCCACCCGAGAGCTCTTCCCTTTTTCTCCTAATACGAACTACAGCAGGGAACGGTACGGATTTCCCGGCGAGGGAAGCCGCGGTGGCGGCGTAAGCGGCGGAGGAGAAGGCGAGACCGTCCATTTCGTTTTAAGCCCAGAAGCAATCTCTTCGAATATCGATCATGGGTCCGTTAAAAATAGCGAATTTCGTCGCTCTAATGCTCGTGAGTTGGAGCTTTCTTGAGCTTGCGCTCAGTGGATTGGAGGGGAAACGGCTATGGCGGAGGAACTTTATCGGTTAGCTTGCATTGCGCTTCTCGTTCGACCAGTGAGAGAAAGACACGTGGTTGATCGAGTTCCCGCATGATATAAAACGGCGTGTCGTTTATTCTTCTTACAGACAAACTGCATGTCGTGTTTAATAAGATTGAACGTAATGCATTTGTTCCATCTATCTTACAGACGCCGAGAATTTCTGTAAGCGATGGTATGGGTATGGCGTATGGGTTGACCAAAAAAAAATATGCGTTAACAAAATATTAAAGAAAATGCATTTCTTTGCATTGCTTCTTGAGGCAAAAAAAGATAATAATATCCATTGTACATTAAGAACATCTATGCGAGAAAAATTATTTATATTTATAAAAAAACGTATTATCAAAGATTGTTTAGGAATAATGAAAATATAATTCATTATATGATTCGGAAACTACTTGATTATAATTAAACCAAAAAAACTACTTGATTATAAAAAAACAGTAATAAATTAGTTATAAAGTAATTAAATCTTATTCAATAAATTTTTACACCTGAGTACACGCGTGTCCTATATATCTTCCATGGTTGCACTGAAGGGTTGATAGGACTTACGAAAATATAAAGCATTATAAGATTTTGAAACTATTAATTCATTTGCCGCATATATAAATATTAACATATGCTTCAAAATCTTCAAAGCCAAAATTGTATAATATACAACGTGTTACAAAACAAATTTGTCATGTTGCTCAATGGGATTTGGGCTTGATGGTGGCCCACTAGTAAGAGCCCAATATTTCTTTTATTTTAAAATCCAATACTAGGTTTTCTATTTATTTGGATAAATGGATAGGCTATTTTGATTTGACGGTATAAACTCCAATAATAAGTTTTCAAATAAAATTCAATTTAAAAATGGTTGTTATTAATATAAAAATAATCTAAAAATAGAATAAAAACGAAAACATATTTTTAGAAAATGAATACTTTAAAATAGACAATTTTCGACCAAATTTTATATGAAATCGGATAAATACAGTTTTAAAAAAAAGGTGAGCTTGATGCCGAAATCATCAAACGGGTGAAATTTGGAAGATATATATATATATATATATATAATTGTATGATATACAGAAATCCGACATAGAATTCGGTATATCAGAACCGACCGGTTGAGGAGAAAACCGGACCATAGAGTAAGCAGTGGAAATGGTGTGCCTGAGCACATTGAGTTGTCGCTCATCTGAGCCTACGTCATTAATATGTTCGCAATTTAGACATTTTTATATTTCTACTATATGTAAGAGATAATTCAACATCTAGGTTATTAATAAATTTAAATCTGGAAAAATGTAAACAAAAATTTAGAACGAATGGATGGAATTTCAATACAATATATTCGAATGAATAAAAATATATCAATACATATAGAGAGAGAGAAATGACATTACATGATCTCTAGAACAATGAATATTCGAATTGTGATCATATCTTTATATGTATATATTTTTCTTTTGATGTTATTTTACATTTAGAAAAAGACAAATAATTATAATAGCACGTCAGATAAATAACAAAAATAAATATTGTTGGAGATCAATTTTTGTCGGGAAAACGTTATGTCTCTATCTATCATGGACCAGCTTGTTATATTGAATGATGATGCTTTGATTTCATCTGTTGTGTGGAATAATTAATTGATGAGAAATTAAATTGTAATGTGTCCACCTTATAATAAAAGCCAGGAAAAAAGAAAAGAAAAGAAAATTTATTTCATTTCACATGCTCAAAGAGCTTAAAGCAAATGAGGGGAGAAAAAAAGAGAGACAGAGTCATTTTGTGCAGCATGATCAAATTATACTTGTCTTGTTTCTCAAGTTGCCTGCCATAAAGAAACTCTGCATATATAGTGCATATACACCTTATAATATATATATACACACACATACACAAAAAATTTGATTTCAAATCATTACAAAGAAATGTCAATATTAAAATAATCAATAATACCCGATCATTGTATATTTAGTGTGTGTATATATATATTACATTTAGAAATATCACATAATATTTTGGGTCGCTCTAGTCTAGAACATATATGTGTATATATATATATATATATATATATTTTTTACGGTAAATATTATATATGCAAAATGGTAGTACATAAGAGATGACCAACGAGATATCACTCCTAAATACAGATATCAAACTTCACAATAGCAAACCGAATGAAGCAAATCAAAATAGGATGAGAGGTAAAGCAAAATCGTCACAAGTGCATAGAGGTGCATTTAGAAAGACATACGATATGTCTACCATGTGGTCGGTGTCGTATGATCAAAGTTACAAAAGTCTGATTTTCCCATTCCCACTTCCCCTTTTCCCTTCCGAGATTTCCCGACCAATATGAAGTCTAAGGGGTCTAGTGAGATTCTGGCAGCATGAGAACGTAGAACACGCTAGGTACCTTTGACTGTAGCAGCAGTGGAGGAGCGGGCTCGTAGAATTTTTTGTGCTTCCGCAACTAGTTCTTCATCTGAGTCAAAGCAGAATTTCGGGCAAAGATTATTATTTTGTTGAATTGGATGATAGTTTAGTAGGTGTGCTAGACGGTGATTCAGTGGGAGTAGGCGACGATGGCATATTGTTTAGAGGGGGACATACAAGGGGTGAAAGTGGAAACATATATGTATATTGGTTTCTTTATCTTTTTGTTTTTATTTTTTTTTCTTTTTATACTTCATATTATCTCTGCAGTCCACATCTCAAACATGGGGAAAGGAACAACCATGATGACCCAAAGCCTTTGCAAAAGGGTCTCCCATGTTGGTATGTTAATGATGAACTAAAAAGGTTAATCTCACATCAAACTATGAGATTATATTGTAAGACGTGTATATACGTGGCAAATTACTCATTGATCATTATATATTTGGTTTAAGCTTCAAAAAACAAGTAATTATGATCGATTAAGGGTCCAATTAGGCGCTTAGGACCCTTTATCATAATTATTTCTTGCTTGCGTGCATGCATTCTATATGCATCTCACACCGTATCCCATTTTGGTTCCTGCTATAGTTGATCGGTGCCTCCCTTAAAAATATTTTATTGTTGAAAATAAATGGAGAAATATGCAATTTTCACTGATTCCATATCATTCTGCAAAAACGTTAAATTAAACATTTGATGGGAGTCACCCATTTATATAAATGCATAGGATTTCAATACAATATGGCATTATTTAGTAGTTTTCAGTGTAACTTAGCTATGTATGAAAAGTTATAAATAATATTTTCATCAAGCTGATTTGGATTATAGCATAATACATACATATTTTAACCAATGGCACATAACCTTGTGCATAATATGTTAGAACCCAAAGATTCAACCTGCAAACCAGCAACAATCCAAGCAATTCAGTAATCAGCAACCCATGCAACAAATTCCATTCTAGGGGAACGGTGACCCAGCGATTGGTTTGAGGAATCGCTCACCTCCTGCTCAGAATTTCTCACTCTAAAACATGCCTTTTTCATTTCATAGATATTCCCTTATATAGGATAGGTTGTTGATGGGGAAATCATCCAACCCTACATTCTGTAATATTTATATTTAGACCCTTGTACTTTCTGTATTATAAAACAGATCCCAACATAAGTAATTAATAAAGTCATCCTCCTTATTTACTTGACCGCCACCTGTTCCTTAGCTGCTACTCCCTCCACTCCTCGTTTCCTTTCCTCTCTTGCTCCTGACGTAGACCTGCTTAAATGGGATTACACCATTACTCCCCTCCCACACTTTCACCTTGTCCTCAAGGTGAAAATCAGGGAATTGCTTGTCGATGGTTTCATATGCCTCCCAACTCGCGTCACTTGGGGGCAGATTTTCCCATTGGATGAGTACCTCGACAATCCCGCTGCGTTCATTGCGACGAGCTCCGCGTAAGTTTTCTGGACGAACCCGCCACTCCAAATCAGCCATAAGTCCCGTCGGTAATGGCTGGGTTACCACGTTAACATCGACCCCAATGGCTGGCCGAAGTTGGGACACGTGAAACACCGGGTGTATGGTGGCTGTTGCAGGAAGTTCCAGCTTATAGGCGACCTTTCCGATTCGGCTCATCACTCGGTAAGGGCCAAAGTAGCGCGGTCCCAATTTCTCGAATCTTTTCCGTGCTAATGATTTCATTCGATAAGGTCGGAGTTTCAAAAAGACCAAGTCTCCAACCTGAAATTCGATTGCGCGCCTCTTCCGTCATTTTGTGCAGCATGATCAAATTATACTTGTCTTGTTTCTCAAGTTGCCTGCTATGATGTCATCGCGTTCTTCTATCAACTGGTCCAGGCTATCGATGGACTGCCCCGAATGCTGTCCACGACGTAGATGAGGCGGATCTCTGCCATAAAGAGCTCGGAACGGCGTCGTCCTGATCGCAGTGTGGAATGACGTGTTATACCAATATTCGGCCCAACAAATCCAACGGGCCCAGGACCGTGGCTTCTCACCCGCGAAACACCGCAAGTACGCCTCGAGACAGCGGTTGACAACCTCCGTTTGGCCGTCCGTTTGAGGATGATAGGCGGTACTCATGAACAACTTGGTGCCGTGGAGGTTGAACAGCGCTCGCCAAAACTGACTTTGGAAAACCTTGTCCCGATCTGATATAATATCATCCGGCAGTCCGTGAAGGCGAACTACCTCACGGAAAAACACTTCAGCCACATCCACCGCCGAAAAAGGGTGCTTCAAGGTGAGAAAGTGGGCATACTTCGTAAGGCGATCGACCACTACGAAGATGGTATCCCTCCGTTCCGAGATCGGTAGTCCCTCTATAAAATCCATCGAAATTGAGGTCCATACTGTCGAAGGAATGGGGAGAGGCTGCAGCAACCCAGCCGGCGATAGCGTCGAAGCTTTATATCTCTGACACACTTCACAAGCTGCCACAAACTTCGCAATGTCCTGTTTCATCCCAAACCAGAAAATTTCTCGCCTAAGACGTTGATAGGTTTTGTCAATACCCGAGTGCCCACCCATTGGTGACGAATGAAACTGCTCCATAAACCTGTCCGCTAAATCCGACCCCCGTGGAACCACGACACGGTTGTCATAAAGAAGGTGTCCATCTTGCATCACCCAACCTTCTGCGTTCTCCCCGTCGAACATGACGATCTCAGGAGCCTTCACTGACACCTCACCAAAGGACATACTACGGGTTAGTAGTTTTCCCGCCGTATGACCCATGGCTGAGTTCTCACCCAGTACGTGGTCTTCCGTCAGATTCGGGCGGCGTAACCTACTCTCCACCAGAATCGGAGTGTCCAACGCGATCGGCATGTCTGCTCCATTCCGTGGTTGCATTCCGGCACCGATCGAAGAACACCCTGTCAACCCACCGGTCGCTTCCTTCCCTACATCCGCTACGTCAGTCGGAATCCCTGGTCGGCTTCCCGGTTGCAGCGACAACATCTTCTCCACCAACGCTGACATGAGAGGGATCATGGCCTCCTGGATCGCGATCGAGAGATTCGCCACCGTAAGGGGTGGTGACTCACTCTCACGAGACACAGGGTCGCCAGAATCTGCACCGATCGTTGCTTCTCCATCTGTCTTCCTGCATCGGCATGGTCTTCCGTTTGCGACCCAGGATGATGGCTCTGATACCAAATATGTTAGAACCCAAAGATTCAACCTGCAAACCAGCAACAATCCAAGCAACTCAGTAATCAGCAACCCATGCAACAAATCCCATTCTAGGGGAACGGTGACCCAGCGATTGGTTTGAGGAATCGCTCACCTCCTGCTCAGAATTTCTCACTCTAAAACATGCCTTTTTCATTTCATAGATATTCCCTTATATAGGATAGGTTGTTGATGGGGAAATCATCCAACCCTACATTCTGTAATATTTATATTTAGACCCTTGTACTTTCTGTATTATAAAACAGATCCCAACATAAGTAATTAATAAAGTCATCCTCCTTATTTACTTGACCGCCACCTGTTCCTTAGCTGCTACTCCCTCCACTCCTCGTTTCCTTTCCTCTCTTGCTCCTGACGTAGACCTGCTTAAATGGGATTACACCATAATATTCATAAAAACATTAATGAATAGCTGAATCCGTCTGCCATACAAAAAAACAAAACCGTCCAAGAAATTAATTTTTACAAGGGATAGGGTATTCACTAGACGATCGATGCTCTCTGTGTGTGTGTGTGTGTGTGTGAGATAGAGAGAGAGAGAGAGAGAGGAAGGGCCATAACCTCAAGGTGGTATACTGCCATTAAATCCCACATGTGTGGTTGTTCACATGTTCATCATCATCGTCATCATTAACTGTTTATATCTACCTACGCATGAATCTCTGTGTACGTGATCTAAGTTACAATGTAAATACATACACACCAATATATATATATATATATATATATATATTCACCTTTTTTTAAAATCAAAGTTTTTTTTCCAAAGAAAGGCGTGACAAGACGAGGCGGCCACTGCATTGAGTTTAATGCTGCCATTCGGACCAGTTCTTGTTCGAATCTCCCATGACGCCAAACATTAATGTAGCCTACGAAGTCAATGTATATAGAAAATTGTCAAATGTTTTTATTCAATGCTACGGTTACGGATCCCTATACGAGAGCAGACAAATTAAATCTTGACTTACACCACATTTTACCCAAAAAAAAAAACCAAAAATCATAAGCTCATCATTTGTATTCCCCTTTTTTCTTCATTTATTAGGGTTCATGACATGAAACACAGCCAGAACTGGAGTTACCTCGAGTTGTAAACTTTTTACTTGTGGAGTCAGACGTCAGATTAAATCTGAGAGAGAGAGAGAGAGAGAGGGAGAGATCCATTAGAAGGGGTTAGTTTGGTGGTTGAGACAGCTTTGGTGACTTCATTTCACCATAACCGGAAAACTCCATGGGTCCCGACACCATCACACCTATTATTTTACTCATATATATATATATATATATATCATTACATGCTTTTATCTTTTCTTTTTTTTTGGGTGAAATATACACTATGTGTGTGTATACATATTCAGAATTTTTTTTTGTTAAAATCAAAAGTTAGATTTAATTACTAGACAAAAAAATTGTTTAATTGGCAATTATAAACAACCCGCGGAGATAAAGCAGTAACCCTAGGGCCTATATATTCCTAATCCATACAAGTTAAAAACCCTCACAAATTATATATTAATCAGAAATTTTTTTTATAATCTGAAAATTTACCAAATTTTTGATTTAACTACGTCTTTCAAAAAATCGGAAAAAATTCAGCCAAATGGAAACTTGGTCCCAGATAAAAAAATGAGTTTTATTCCTTTCAATACTGGTTGAGCCGACAATCTTACATGATATTAATCAAGACATGTTTGAACTTCTACGTACGTTTGAGGGCCACCTTTGCAATATTGCATGTAACAATGTTTTTTTTTTTATGAAAGCATTAAGCATGTAACATGTTATGAAATCTGCACAGATATTGTTAGGACTATATATATATATATTCAACCGAGTATTACTCAAACTTCATCTGTATATATTTGTTTAACATAAAACCCATTATCCTAATTAATTGCCATATCGTCATCTCAAAAATTAATATTGATTTTGCATCGATTATATATGTAGAAAAGCAAAGGAAATTTCCATATTATCAAAACTCGTTAGTGATATTTTGGAATTCATTAATCTTTTTTTTTTTGGTATGATAGAAAAGGTTAAAAAGTATTTTCTTCCTAGGATCAAAGCCATGACAACATGGACCTGCTGTACGGCTTGAAGGAATTCATTAATCTTCAAAAGAAAGGAGAGAGTAATAAAGAAAGGCGCAGCGGTCAGCTGGTGCCGCAGCCTCACCTCATGACCATCATTCAAAGCCAAGCAAAGCTCCTAAAGCACCGATACAACATCGAAATATACACACACATTCTTATATAAACTACATATATACGTATATATGTTCCTGTATATACATTTATACAAGTTTAATTATACTATGGTTTGTAACGTGTTAATTATAAGACAATTTAGCATGATGTCAAATATTTTTGGGTGTTTCTGTTATTAACAATGAGATAGGGTTTGAATAAATTCCAAGACGTTGAATCGACACGATCGTTCAACTCGAACGGTCAAAACCAAGTTATTAGATAGCCAATTCGAAAACTAGAAAATGCAATTTGGAACTAATATAATTAACAATTTTTACACACACACATATATATATGTATATATGCAATAATATAATATATGTTTGGTATGATGTTGGACCGACGAAGCTGACATGTATTGTACGGGTATTTCGTGATGCATCTCCACCTAACCGGTTCGTTACATATGTACATTCTATTTCAATTCTGTTTTTTTTTTCTCATATATTATTGTTTTCATGTGGCGCATATTCATCAGTACACTATTTTGTACGAATGTTTATTTATATATGATTATAGATTCATGTATTTTGTATTACAAACACATTACTTGTTGCGTGTGCAAGTAATATATATAATAATATTCATTATATATATATATTGCATATATAGACCATAGTTTATAATGCACATAGGATTCCTAATTGTTGTTGGATCCTTAAAGGGGGCCCTACGTCGGGGTAAAGATAACCGCATAATGTTTTTTCCGCCTATTTTTCAAAATCAATAAGTATTTTTGTTTTTCATTTTTGTTTCAGAAACCAAAAAAATGCAGGCACTTTATATGGCCCAACACCACAGCATAGAAGTTGGGTTATATAAAACTTCAATATGTGGGGATTTGACGTCATGATCATTTTATGAATTCGCATGTTCCATGTCCCATGATAAAAATAATTTTATATGTTGCTGTAGTCGCCATCAGTATTATATATATATATATATATAATAGTAAATGAACTCTAGTTTTATACAATTTTTTTCATATATATTCTTCCATAATTAGTAAGTTTTGAACTTTTATATTTTGATTGTTTAACTTGCTAGACATTAGTTAAAGAATAATAGTCTAATTTAATTAACATATTAGTATGAGTACGAAGGTTTCTTTTAACCAAAATCATACATTTATTTCATTTGATGGAAATGCAAATAAATAACCGGAATATATATATACACACACGCACTATATATTTTCAAAATTTCCACACTATTTCTTTGATGGAAAGAATAAGCCCTTTCGTGATTCGTTCATAAATCCTAAGTCTAAGCAATAAATTCCTTGGTTACAACGTCACTTTCCCTAATAAGCATTATATTACAGTCTATTTATCCAAAAACGCAATTAAAATTCACGTCAAGTTGACCGTTGGCTCTTATTTATTATTATTTATTTCTATTATTTACTGCTTTTATTTTCCAAGCGTCGGGACCAACGACCATCAACCATCTGACCTTATTTACTATAATACCCTTCAAAGTCCCCGAGACGAGAGAAGCTAATGAAGGGTAAACACGTTATTTTGTTGCGTATAGGCCACTGTTCCCCATCCCCAATGCAGGCAGCTTTACTATTTTTTATTTTATGCAAAACAAAAAAAAAGAAAAGGGTATTTTTTTTTCAATGCAGAAAACATTAAAACAATTACAATCAATATTGTTCTAAATGTGTCGGTCCAAATATTTTTTCCTCATAAAATTATGGCTCTCTAGTTATACTTTATGTCAATTTATATTCTCCTAATTAGGTTTCAGATTATTTTTTTTATATTTATGGTAATTAATAGTATTCCGTCGGTTTGGTTATGCAAACTATATAATATAATTAATCAAAATAATAATAAAATGGTAAAATGAAGTAGAAAAACGTGTCGTCTCTCTTTAGATCTACTCCTCTTCCTTTTTTGTCCCATTTATAAACTCGCCTGTCGAGCTAACGCATGTGTCTTCTTCTTCTTCCTCTTCTTTGCCGTTCAACTGAGTCGAACTCGCCCCCATATACTGAGTCGTGACTCTTCGGAGGTTTTGATTTGTTATTGCCGTGTATCTCGGACGATCAGGTGTTCCGCATTGTACTGTAGGAGAGCGGCGTCATGGCGGTTTTCCGGCGAGAATGGTCGGTGCTCCGGTGACTGTTCGACGTCGTCGTCGTCGTCGTCGGTGGTGGTTGTAATCGAATCGGGGCGGAGATGTTTAGGTCGGCGAGATGGAGGGGCGAGAAGAACAGGATGAAGGTCGTGTTCAGGTTGCAGTTTCATGCGACTCAGGTAGTGAGCTATTTTTTTTTTCTGCAATTGGCTTTGCTTAAATTGATGTTCGTCATCTATTTCCGTAGAGAAATTCCTGTTCGGATTTGGGGATTGGGTTTTGCTTGCATTGTGGTACTCGGGTCCTGTTTGTTTCCTGATAAAATGCTGGCAATAGGAAACTTGACGATGATTTCTGCTTGAATTTTGGGTTTTCTAGAGAAACATCCAAAATCTTAGAATTCAGACCAAATGAATTCAATTTCAAGGGAAGATTCTTACAGAACACTACATGAGGTTTGTCATTGTCGTTCAGAGAGTCAGAGCGATTAAGAACTTGTTGTTTGATCAAAACTTTTTGTCAGGTTCCTCAGCTGAATGCAAAGAGACTGACTCTCTCTCTGGTTCCTGGAGATGTGGGGAAACCAACTTCGAGGTTGGAGAATGCTGTAGTGCAGGAAGGATTCTGCAGGTGGGAATCTCCGATCTACGAAACAGTGAAGTTCGTTCAAGAGCCGAAGACAGGGATGGTTAATCAGAGGGTTTATCATCTTACTGTATCAACAATGGTTAGAAAGAAGTCAATAACTTCTCATGAATCTCGTGGTTTGGTTGCTAGTTCTTGCATGATGTTTCAGACATGTCTGCATTTCTGCAGGGATCTTCGAGGTCTGGTCTGGTCGGAGAAGCTTCGATTGATTTTGCTGATTACGCTGCTTCAACCAAGGCTTTCAACATTTCTCTACCATTGCGGAATTCAAATTCAAAAGCAATGTTGCATGTTAGATCTCTGTCCCTCTCTTATTTAATGTTTTTTCACTTTTTTGGTAGCCCACAAGATGTCTGCTTGTCTGTTCATGTGAAGTATATGCACACTCAATGTGTTATTAATGCTCATAGATATTTGACACTGAGCTCAGAACTGTTTTCGATGATCAGGTCACAGTACAAAGGCAGCTAGAAGATTCTGATCCACATAGGTACTAGAAACCAGATTGCAGATTTCCACTAAATCTTTTCGGTATCCATTTCTTGGATTTTCTTTTTCTTTTTTCCCCTCGAGTTTCTTATAGAATTCGGAGACGATTCTATTTGTGAGCAGGGAGGATGAGGAAGGTGAGAGGCTGAGAAAACAATCCGGGGTTCATGATTTGAAGTCCCATTTAAGCATTGAAGATGCAGACGAAAGCCACAAGAGCGAGACACAAGAGGTAAATGCATGAAGATGTTCTTGATTCCACCCTCCTGATAATTTTTCTCCTATTTCTTCAAATTGTGATCCAAAAAGACGGTTTTGATATATTCGTTCATTAAGGCGAATTCAGTGTAAGACAGTGGCATATCTATTGATATGTCAATGTCAAGGTTTTTCGATTTTTCTGACATCCTTTGTTGCTGCTCTAATAGGATATGCCCTTGAGTAGAGCTGCCCGGATTGCTGAACTGAGGCGTAGAACCTCCATAGAATCCGATAGTACGATGTCGAGTTGTGGTAGTGTCTCTGACCTGAATCCTCTCGGAGAAGTTGGACACAGAGAGGATATTGTTCAGAGAAATCTCCATAGTTTTGCTAAATCTTTGGACCCAACCACTTTGCTTCTACGTTCATCCACGAGTATGTCTGAAGAGCCTCATGTGTCAGAATTGGAGTGGTCGGGGAGCTCTGATCACGGAATCAGCACTGATGACTCTACCAATAGTTCTAAGGACATCTCAGTGAATTCGTCTGATCTCGAGATAGAGAAGCTTAAATCTGATCTTGCTGTTCTTGCAAGACAAGCAGATCTTTCGGAACTGGAGTTGCAAGGCCTGAGGAAGCAAATCGTTAAAGAGAGTAAAAGGAGTCAGGATCTCATGAGAGAAGTGACCGGCTTGAAGCAGGAGAAAGATTCTCTGAAGGCAGAGTGCGAGAGGCTAAAGCCATCTGAAAAATGGAAGGATGAGATGAAGGTGAGGAACAAATTGCGGTATGAAGGCAGGGATCCGTGGGTTATTCTGGAGGAAATCCGACAGGAACTGGATTATGAGAAAGATCTGAACTCAAATCTTCGGTTACAGCTCCAGAAGACCCAGGAATCGAACACCGAGTTGATTCTAGCTGTGCAAGATCTAGAAACAATGCTCGAACAAAGGAATAACGAGGCATCCGATCATTCTTCCAGACCGGGAGGAGCCTGTAAGAACACGGAAGAATCAAGAAGAAGGTCCTTCAGAAGTGAGACATGTGAAGACAAGGATCAAAAGGCGCTGGAAGAGCTTGTGAAGGGACACATGGGTGGAAAAGACACAGATCTCCTGGAGAAAAAGATTGCAGAGCTCTACAACGAGATAGAGATCTATAAACGAGACAAAGATGGGCTCGAGATACAGTTGGAGCAGCTTGCACTCGATTATGAGATACTGAAGCAGGAAAACCATGGAATCTCATACAAGCTAGAGCAAAGCCAACTGCTAGAACAAATGAACATGCAATATGAATGTTCATCGTCACTTGAAAATCAAGTGGAGAGCAGAATTGAAGAGCTTGAAACGCTGATCGAGGGCTTGGAAGAAGAGCTGGAGAAACAAGCTCGGCTATTTGAGGCAGATATCGAAGCAGTGACCCATGCTAAAGTGGAGCAAGAGCAAAGAGCTATACGAGCTGAAGAAGCCCTGAGAAAATCAAGGTGGAAAAATGCAACTGTGGCCGAGAAGCTCCAGGAAGAGTTCAAGAGGCTCTCGGTCCAGATGGCTTCTACATTTGAAGCGAACGAGAAGATGTCTATGAAAGCTATTGCAGAAGCCAATGAACTGCGCATGCAGAAACGTCAACTCGAAGAAGTGCTAAAAGATGCTAACGAAAAGCTCCATGAGCTTAAAGAGATGGTGAGTCACAAGACCGACGAGATAGAGAGAATATTGGCAAATCTTGATGAGAAATCCAAGCAGCTAGATAACCTGAAGAGGCACGAGGAAGATGAGAATGCAGATTTCATCCGGGAGATCTCAAGGCTGAAGGACGAGATCGAGAGCCTGAAAATGGACAAAAACACCATTGTTGTTGATGCAGAAAACCTCAGACTCGAACTTGAAAAGACGAGGAAATCGATTCAGGAAGCTGATGCATCATTACAAAGAGGAAACACCGAGAGAAACGAGCTATCGAGCACGATTTTTTCAATGAGGAAAGAGTCAGAGTCTCTGGTGGAGGAACTGAGTGAGCTGAAGCGAGAGAAGGATGAAAAGGAAGCAGCTATAATCCGATTACAAGCAGAAACAGAGACTGCAAAAGCCGAGTGTGATGATCTAAAGCATTCTTTATCAGAGAACGAGACAGAGATTGAGAAGCACAAGAAGTATGAGATGCAGTTAAAAGGTGAGCTGAAGAAGAAGGAAGACGCAGTGAGCTATCTGGAGAAGAAGCTGAAGGAGGGCAGAGCAGTGATTAACAACTTAACGAAGTCCGGGCCACGAAACAAAGGCGGTTCAGTAGCTCACTCATCAAAGGAGGTGTCGAGTATGAAAGAGAGAATAAAGCTGCTCGAGGTATGCTTATACATACCCGTAATGCCGAAAATTTGATACCCGTCTGAATAATTTCACAAATGATGGTGAGAGTTTGAAACTTTTCATTTCGTGTTCTAGGGACAAATCAAAATGAAGGAAACCGCACTGGAAGCATCCTCGAATATGTTCGTTGAAAAAGAAAGGGATCTAAAGAGCAGAATCGAAGAGTTGGAGACGCAGCTTGAAGAACTCAACCAGACCAATGTATTGGCATTGTCTGATCACCAAACCCAAGAGGTAAAACAGAACATTTTCTAAGACAAAACCGAAAGAAAATTTCGGAAACCTTATAGTAATACATAAGTTTGTCGTCTCTGATGAACAGACAATGGCTGAACAAAACATAGATGCAATGCCATCAAACAAAAGGTATGTCCTAAACAGATACGCAGTCATATACATCAAACATAGATGCAATGCCATCGTTTATTTGGATTGGTACAGCGATGAACTGCGAGAATTGCTAACGGAATTAGCTTCGCTCAGAGAACGAAACAAAGCAATGGAAACCGAACTGAAGGAGATGCAAGAGAGATACTCGGAGATAAGTCTGAAATTTGCAGAGGTTGAAGGTGAAAGACAACAGCTTGTAATGACTGTACGTAATCTTCGGAACGCAAAGAAGAGCTAGTTGGATTGTATACCAAGACTATACCGGAGTAAACCGATTCACAGAACTGGATATCAGGAACAGTAATCCAAAATTTGTACAAATTTCTCTTCTGTATCTTTCAAAATTTTCCTTATTTTTCACATATATATAAAGAAAATCTTTTTTTTAGGCTTGTTTTGGCGCATGTATTACAAGATATAACGTATTTGGCCTTAGGGCCAAATGTCTTATTTTCAATCCAATTTCGGGTATTAGCGGTTTATGAGCTAAACCGGTTTGGTGCTGCATTAGTGTATATTGAACCGGTCCGCTAATATAAAGATTATATTGATTCCGGTGTTAAACATCCTTTTTTCCCTTTAATTTACGATTTCATTCTGGCCAAGATATAAGAGAAAAAAACGTACAAAACTCCTAATATTAAACAGCTACTCACAGAAATATTTACAAAGCCCGGAAAAATACATTAAACCAGAAAAAATAATAATATTATTAATAATATAGTGAAAAATGTTAAACTCGGCCCTTGATCAATCCATATACAGTGACAAGTGTCACCACAAGAGAATGATCGACACGTGGCTTCACCTCCAAAGCCAACACGTCTTCTCCTAATGTTACCCCGTTTGATGATTGCTTTGGCTTCACCTGCACAACAAAATTGCATAAATCCAAGACATAAGTTTATATTTTTTTAGTCATATAAATAAATAAATAAGCTGTTTAAATCATATATATATATATATGTATAGTATAATTTAATTTATATATACCTGTGCGATGATGTCACCATTTGTGTCTAGAATCTGAAATGCGAATTTGGGATCCAATCTTAGAATCCAAAAAGATTCATTGTTCTCGTCCCTAACTTCCCAATCTCCGTCTCCCATTGAAGACCTTTTGATTCTAGCAAAAGGTTTCTCTTCTTCGGAGCCCCATCTATACACATACCAACCACCCAATACCCATAATTTCTGCAACAATTTCATTAAAAAAATAAAAATTAGCAAATACACGAATAAATTAAAGAAGCAGAGACAAAAGGACTTTGCACAAAACCCGGTTTAGCCGGTCGAACCAAATTTGGTTTGCCAACCCAACATTTTTTGTATGGTTCAAGAAAATCGGGACACAGGTATACGTATACACGTGTTTATATGTTGTCCAAAATGTTACAATAGAGACTATTCCCAATAAGATTTAAATATTGGGCACCTTCGATTTCAACCTTTTTTATTTTATTATTTTAATTAAGATAACATATTCTAAAATGAGTTGTGCTAAAAAAAATATATATAATCCCGCAAGATAACTACAAAAAATACGGTGGGAAGAAAGTCTACAAAACCACCCTAAATATCAATAAAAATACTCTTGAATTTATATATATATGTATATATATATATATATATATATATATCAATCAATGCGGAAAGTTTTAATTTTTAAATATGTAGTTTTCTGTGCAGTGTTAAGTATCGACGAGGCTTTAATTATCGATTGTAAAATTGTCATTTTGAACATACCGGTCCACCATACCGAAACAAACCGGTAGAGAACCGGCCAGAAACGGAGAAAAACCGGATCGGGTCATACCTTTTTGCGAATGGTGAAAAGAATGTTGCCGTGGAGATCCATGACGTGAACTTCACTGCTGCATTTCCTCTCGTAATTCTCGACCCGGTACGTGATTTCGCCGTTTGAATTGTAAACCGTTAAACCGTTGGTTTGGTAAACCAAAGATTTCATCCAAACCGTGAAGGTCTCTCTCTGTGTGCTCATATACGGCGAAGAAATGGCTGTTTGAGGAAAAACCCTAGCCATGGAGAGAGATAAAGAGAGAGAGATTTAAGAAGATGATGAAGAAGAAGTTGAAGAGGTCTTGAACAGCTCATGCATGTAATGGTATATATACCCCTTAAATTCCTTTTTTAAAGAATTAAAGCTTTGAAAATTTTAAATTATAATATCTGGTGCATGTACGGTGACGAAATAATATATATATATATATATATATATATATATATATGTGTGTGTGTGTGTGTGTGTGTGTGTGTGTGTTTAGTGTCCAATAGCTAATTTTAATGCCACAAAAGATGAAATAAATCATTCGAATCCTAAATATATCGTAAATATCATCAGTAATTGAACCATTAATTTATATATTTCGGATATAATCAAATTTATATTTGTAAGTACTTAGTTTAGAGTTAATAGCCTGAATTAACTATGGTACATGTAAAATTTATCTAGCTAAAGGATATAAAAGTATCTAACTTACTTCTGTGTTCAGCAATGATTTTTTTCTAAGTTTGTGTCAATTAAATTTTATATCATTAAAATTTTTCTATGTTATTTATAAGTAATATAATATATTTTAAATCCGCATATACGATGGATGTTGAGGAGGTATATATTCTATATATAATATATTTCACATGTGTACTTATTAGTTATGACGTATGTGTGTGTGTATATGTATACATGTATGCATATGTTTTTATTCATTTATTATGGGATCGGACTGATATTTAAAAACAATGGATGAATGGATGATAAACACATATACGCACATTACATATAATATAAGTATAGATGTGTATATTATATTTTGGCAGTGGACTCTATCTTCTGGCTTTACTCTCCATTTATATAATTTCGAAATCTGAGCTTTATTAATAATATATTAGTCGCAGCGACTTTTGTAATCAATTTTATAATAATTTTATATTTGCTTCAGGAAAATTACCAAACCTGTATTTGCTTTCTTATAAAATGTACTATTTATTATTTTTAAATATTTTTTTTAGTATATGTTTACAATTTTAAACCAATATTTAATTAATAATATTCCTAGCATGCAGTGTCTTTACTCTTATCCTATAAATTGTTTACAATTTCTGGTAATATCCATTACATCTTATTAAGCAGCATTATACGAATGATTTTGTTGCAAATATTATTTTCAAATTTACCATTACAAATTAGATTGTTATTAAGTTTTTTTTTGTTTAGTTTAGAAGCTAATTTCGAAACTAAAAACCCATTTTTTTAGAAAGATTTTTTTTTTTTAAAAATGGCATATAGGATATAATTAATTGATTTTTTTGGATGAACTAATTAATTAATAATCAAACTTTAAACTTGGTTTTGACTACTAATTTGATTAAATTAGCAATATTTTGAAAAGTTCCCAATTCCTACATTTGGATGTCCTAATCAACAAAGTGTTCAAACATTAGTTTAGCTTATCATTCGAATGCTTTAAATTTCCTCATAAAATAAAATTATTATGTGGAATTTCAGTCCTTTTCAAATTATAAAAAAAAAATCGGTTAATCATAACTTTCATTTTTTTCTTTATAAAAACTGTTTGCATATAGCGATAATCCAACCCTAAAATCATGTTGAAGTTTAGATGAGTTGTCGAATAAACCAACCGGTTAGGATACTTAACCAAACCCAATTATTAAAAATTGAAAATAATTCAAGAGAACGGAGAGGAAATGAAATACTCGTCTTATTCGTGTCGGTTAAAGGCTTAAAGCAGACGAGCGCGACCATGTCGACGCTAAAAGGGTCAAGTTATGCTTTATAATTGGAATCGAATCATCCCATAAATTATAGAAATACTTAATTAATTGAATCAGATTTATTTAATTGACTCCTTTATTCATCACTAACTTGTAAACTTCTTAATTAACTTTGTTATCCTCGGAAATATGAAATTAAAGAATGTTTATCCTTTTCGTAATTAGTGGGTCACACGTTTCGTTCCAAGACACAAGTGCCGAGGTTAATGTTATGTAATCAGTATATGTATATGTTAATGAGGTGGACACTATGTTGGCTTTCCATCTATTTTTGTCCTAGTTATTTTTAAAATTTGAAAAATTATTGGATTTTGGTTTTATTAAAAGTTTATGTAATTTTGACTAGGGTTCGTTTTCAATTAAAGATTAATGATTCTTTAAATATTTTTTATTTTTTATTTATTTTTATATTGGATTCGAATTCCATTAAGTTTGTTTAATGAAAAATTATATGCAATCACCTTTTAAATCAATTTCGTTTCCAAATGCTATTACTTATTCTTAGTTAAATTTGATTTTTTTTTTATATTGGAAACAAATTAATATCCCATAGCAATGCACACACATTCGACCGTTTTGATGGAGGGGAGATGTTGGAAACTTTTTGCCTACCTAACGGGAAAGCTTTACATTAGCATTAGATACTAATCACTAGTTCTAAACTTATATGCCTTATTTATTTATGTATCACAGAATTTAAAATAAAAGACAAATGAATAATCTTTGATGTTTTAAATTTATATTATACCGTTAAAGTTTAGGCATAATGCTATCTTGCGTAACATCATAATCTTTTCCAAAATAAAAGTACGTATGGACAATATGATCGATCATGACTCCATCGGTCGGTTTGTTTAATGGAATCTAATATATATATATATATATATATATATATATATATATATATTT